TATGCCTATCACAACTGCTATGTGCCCAAGCAGCCAATAGCCAAGGCCAAAATCAGGTCCCAATAAGAAACCATTCCCTGGAGAGGAACCAGTCAGTCACTGGGGGACAGATTGATTACCCTGGACAGATTGATTACCTTCTATCATAAAAGTAGCAATTTGTCTGCAAAGTACTAGATACACAGTCTAGACACAAATATGCTTTGATTTGAGATTGCTATGCACCATGGTTTTCATATTATATTGCCTCCGATAACTCATTTTACAGGGACCTCAGGGAACTCAGCAGTGAGTTCACATACACATACTTCATGGGTCTTACCACACACCCCATCATCCAGAAGTAAGTGGATTGACATTATTGATGGAATGACCTGCAGACAGCTCAGTTATGGTGTCAGCTAGGCAGCAACACCCTGTAAGTCTGGGTTGCTGCTGCATAGAAAGCAATATATGCCTTAAACCAAATGACAATAAATGGTGATGGCTTCTCCATGGCCAGAACACATACACAGGTACAGGAACCAAGGGTGGAGTAGTGAGGAAAGTTCCTCTCATTATACACCTAATTAGTCACTTGTATTATTTTTGCTTCTTGTCTCCATAATCTTGGGCTTGGTGAGTTTTGGGTTCTAGTCTCAAAAGGGAAATGTTTCTACCATGAAACAAGTCATAATTTTGTTAAACTGGAAGGTCAAACTGCTTCCTGGTCACTTTGGGTTTCTCATTCTGTTGAACCAACAGGCAGAGAAGGGGTCACTCTACTGGTCAGGCTGACTGATCCCAAATACCAATGGGGAATTGGTAACTGCTATATACTAAGGGCAAGAAGACTATGTCTGGAACTCAGAGGATTCACTGGAGTGTTTCTTAGTTCTCTCCTGTCTAATAGGCCCAGTCAATGGTATACTGAAGCTGCCTGAAAGAGACAGGGTTACTGAGGACTTAGATCACCTACGAAAGGTTTATATTACTAAACTAGGTAAAGACCTCTGTGCCTCTGAGATGCTGGCAGAAAGTGAGGAAGATATAAAACAGGTGGAAGAAGGTCGTTAGAATGATCAACTTCGGCTCCATGAACACCAAAACCAGTAGCAGTTATTTATTTATTTATTTATTTATTTATTGGCAAGAGCTTGCTCTGTCACCCAGGCTTTCTGAATAGCTGAGACTATAGGTATGCACCACCACTCCTGGCTAATTTTTACTTTTTTTTTGTACAAATGGAGTCTCTCTTTGTTGTCCAGACTGGTCTTGACTTCCTGTGCTCAAGTGATCCTTCTGCCTTGGCCTCCCAAAATGCTGGGATTATAGGTGTGAACCACTGCACCAGGTCTATTTTGGGTTAATTATGCCTTTTTCCTCTTTTTCTTACAACTTTATATGAAGAGCAGTAGTGGTAATTAAATTCTAGGTTTCAGGTAGGAGCATTATTTAATTATGACAGTCTGCAATGAAATGATAGCTTAAGTTGCTTTGTTTTTCTGCTGTGCTGAGAAAACAGCAATCTATACATAGGACAAAATTGGACTGTGAGATAAAAGGGGTGGACTGTGATGAATAGTCTCCTTTCATCCTCCAGATCTACTCTCCACCCTGCTCTGTGCCCTGGTGGCTGATGTCGATGGACTGCATCACCTAGGCTTCCATGCCTTCTAGTTTGCAAGCAGATTTAGATAAAAGTGGGAGAATAGTAGAGTGACTAGCTGCCTTGGTTGCCCAAAACTGAGGGGGTTATTGGAATGTGGAACTTTCAGTGCTAAGTCCCAAGCAAACTGGGATGAACTGATCACCCTACATCCTGGCTCCATACTTGCTGGGCTAGGAGCTGGGCCTTTTAGCAAAGGCCAGAGCTTCTATCAGGTGGCTAAACCCTAAGCTATACTTTCTAGGCACTGGTAATCAGTCTTTCCCCTTATCACTTAAGGCCTAAAGGTAGTAACTGGTTCTCCTTGTTGCCTGCTCCAAGGCTGATGTTCACCACTTGCTGATTTCTGTAATCCTACCTATCCTCTTCAGGAAACACTGAATTACTGCACTGGAATGAGTCATCTATTTCCTGGCTCATTCCAGGATATGACTGATACATCAAGGTTTAATTTCTTCATAACCATTGTCATTATATGATAATATAATGTACATTTATTTATCCATTTTGTTTCCCTCTTCTAGAATGTAAGAACCTTGAGGGCAAAGGCTTTGTCTGTTCAGTTCACTGCTATATTCCTAGCACTTGGAACAGTGCCTGGTCACAGAGTAAACTGTTAGTAACTAATAATAATACTATAAGGCTAATAGGTTGGGTGAAAAAAGGGACAATGGAAGGTAAATTTCATAGGAAAACAGCAGCAATGAAGACCAAAACCAAAAAGAAGTAAGGAATGACATGGAAATGAGACCCGGCAGAACATCTGAACAAAGTCAGGATCAACATTATCTTACTCAAAATAATAGCAGCTGCCATTTAAAAAGAATTTACTGTAAGCCAAGACTGTGTTCAGAGCTTTACAAAGAGGATTCTAGGGGGTTTTGTTTGTTTGTTATAGTATTAATGAACCCCAGTGAATCCTACCTTCCAGTATCTATATCCTTGTATAGTCTACTTCCACAATGACTTTGGAACCAGTCATGTTACTTGCTTTGGTCAATGAGATAGTAGTAGACGTAACACAAACATAGGTATGAAAAGTAATTATGTATTGGAGAGCCTGCCCTCTCTCTGATTCTGAAAACTAACTGCCTACGAAAAAGTCTGGGCTAGTTCACTGGAGATGTGTTACCTAAGCCACAGCCAGCACTAACAGTCAGACCTGCCACTGAGACCATCTTAGACTCTGGCCCCAGTGGAGTCAGCCACTAGATGACTGCATGAGTAATCCCAGACAAAACCACGAGAAAAAACTGACTAGCTGAACTTAAGTTCAGGTGGCTAACCTACAGCTTAAGTAGATACTCGACAGGATGATAAGAAACAACATAGTTTAACAAGTCTGTTGTTTCAGGTCACTAACTTTTGGGGTTCTTTTGAAACCACCTATATAAAATTAAAACAGGGCATTGGGATAAAAGCCGTGGAAGAGGACTGAGCCCTGCAATGTTTCACTATGGGTAGAAATGAACAAATTTGTTGTTTCTCAGTTTGCGTTTAATTCCATAGAGAGCAATTATCTCATATCCTGTCCTAAAGAGGCAAGCTGCCCATGAGGTGGTTAAACATATCTTTCTCTTAAACAATGAGCCTAAGGTCACATAGATCTCCTAGATGGCATCCTGAAGTTTGATCAGCAGAAGGGCACGAGCAGTTTTAATCTCCAGGGATCCCACATACCTTCCTTCTTCCTAAGCTACCATCATAATGGCTTCTGCTCAAGAGTCATAGCAAAGGTTGCAGGACTTGCTTTATAGATAGCATCTACTGCAAAACCTGGCAATGGGGATTGAGATGTTTTTCAGACTTTGCACTCTGATATACCTATGACTTCACCCGGACCCAGGGCACATACCAAGGAGTAGGTCCTACTGATCCTGTGACCCCTTCCCAGAAACTAGCTCCGAGCATGAAGACAGTTTTGACACCTCTGTGACTTCATAACCAACCAATCAGCAGCACCCAGTCCCTAAACCCTACTCACCAAATGATTCCTGAAAAAACAATAGCTTAAAATTCTTGATGGTTTAAAATTCTCAACGTGGGTTTGAGAAATCCCTCCTGTCATCCTCACTCAGCTGCTTTGCGACATTAAACTCTTCTTCTATTGTAACAGCTGCTGTCTTAGTCTTGGCTTTTCTGGACAGCGGGCATAAAAACCTCAGTCAGGCTGTAAGACTTTATTCTGGAGTAATAGATACTAAAAATAACCATCAAAGAATAAATTATTATACACTTATAAGGCGAGGAAACAGATTGTAAAATATAAGAGTGAGTTACTGAAGCTAGTAAGTGACAAAGCTAGTATTTGAATCCAGGTTTTCACGCTCTAAAACTTAAGGAAAAAAGACTTGAAAAGGGGAAACACCAAACACGGACAGACTGGTAGTAATGTTACAGTTCGAGTAATGCTCAGCTGCTAACCCTCACACCAATAAATTGAGAGGTAGGGAACTGGTCAAAAGAAATTTATTTCTGAATTTGAATCCACAGAGCAGAGCTGGGCTCCTGGCCTTTCTAAAATGGTTCTGTTCATCCTTCAAGTTTTACAGTATGCTCTTATAAGTTCAGGGTTGTTGGTACCTATACATTGACTATGTGACTGGCAGACCATTGCACAGAACTTAAGTTACAGCTGTATGTTGTCAATAATGACTTTTATGATCCACATTTCCCGGCACCAGTTTCCAGAGGTATCTAACAGCTTCTTATCAGTAGCACCCAGCATAAGCGTTAATCAAGCTTTCCATAGAGTAAAAGGAATTAGCTAACAAGACTTAAGACATCATACATTACAACATGTTGTTATAGGCAAATCACAAGATTTACGATAACATTGATACTATATTATTCAAACCTATGACTACTAAGAAAAGGGAGTAAATGGGGATTTACATCTCTCAGTTAATTGGGCACAGTCTGCAGGGAAGTTCAGGATTCTTTGAAGTTATTTACTGGGAGTGCATAGGAGATAAGGGGAAGCGCTCCTTTTGTTAATTCTCAGGAATGTGGGTATATGCAAGCCTGCTCCACACTTGCCATGCCCTTTTCTAGGGGTTGTGGTAATATGAACAGAAAATAGTGTGTCCGTATCAGCAAGGTAATGATTGCAAAGGAAAAACTGGACTACTTCAGGGTCTTAAAAAAGAGAAGGGGACTGCATGAGAATTTAATTGCCAGAATCTGAAATAAAACCAGGTGACCATGCTTCGGGCACTGAAGAGATAATATTGCCTAACAGTGAGGGAATGCTGATATCAATTGAAGATACTGGCATGGGGTAACATCCCCACTGCTCCACCTTCCCTACCCACCAAAACCAGCAAGAAAGATACAAGACACTGCTTCTCACCTGACTGAAGGTGGTATTCTTGAGGTTCACAATTGAGCTGGATCTCCATGGGCCGCAACTGCACATGTCAGGGAGCAAGTGGAGAATTACCATTTACTCTGTAAGCTTTTCTCGTCCACATAAAGGCCTGGGACCTGGAGGCAACTGGGCACCACTGGGCTTGGAAGGGTATCATTGTGCAGACCAGAGATGTAATTTCTGAGACTGGACTGCCAGAAACATTCTCTAGAAATGAAAGAAGAGAAGGAGAAAACAAAATCTCACTTAATTTCCAAATGCTTTTCACTTAAGAGTTTATTAAACCTACCCCATCATCCAGGAGTCAGGCATCATCCCCTCTTCCCAATTCCAAGTCTAGAGATGTTCAAACAAAACTGGAGACTAGAACCATCAGAAGAATGGTATCACTAGAAAGATAACGGAGGGGAGGGAATTTTAGAACTTGTCCTAGTGGGCCACACTGTGTCACTCGCTGCCCTTCCTTTACCAAAATGACACTGCTGATCAAGCACCATGATCCGCCTTTCTTTCCCTCCTTGGCGTTCTCCAACACTCACAAATCTAGGCTGCTCTTTCCCGGCACGGTCGGATGATTCCACCCGTCCCCCGGAGTTTCTGGGTTGAACCCCAAGGCCCGGCCAGAGCTGACCCGGTACCAACAGGACCGGTCGGCTCTCCGTGCCCAGGAGCGACCCTGGCGGCCTTGACTCTCCATGGCCTCGAGAAACCGCAAACGGTTTCCTGGCTGCGCTGCGAGGCCGCTCGTTAGGCGAAAGCAACCCGGAGTTTCCCACCTTTCGAGAGCCGACACCGCCCGCACCTCGACTCGATCCTGAGGTTGCGGTCAAACCTCACACCCCGCGAACCAGCCATCGTCGCGTCCGCTCTAGGAACCTGGGAGGACTGCTCAGCTCTATGGCGCGTCGCTGCGCACGCGCGGGACGGCGGGAAGGGGAGGGGCACTGAGAATTAACCCCTGAACAGCCGCGGAGCTGCCACCCGCTGAGCCTTAGCGAGGGACCTGCTTGACTAGACGGATGCCTTGCTGCCCTCTCTGCTGCTGGTTCTAGAGGTGAATATCGGAATCCTTTATCTTTCCGGAAAGCTCTCTGGGGCAGGGTAAGTTTTCTGTCTACATGATGAGTTCTTTTTTTAAAGAAAAACAACGATCCCTCCACCCATGGCTTATGTGATTCTCAGGTGTGCTTCTATTCTAACTTTCCTCTTGCCCTCTCTGCTTTTCTTTTCATCCTCTCGAACAGTGGCATGCATCAGAATCACTCGGAGGCCTTGTGAAAATACGAGCTGCTGCCCCCACCCCCAGAATTTATGATTCAGTAGAGCTGGGCTGGGAACCCAGGTTCTCAGGTGGTCTTGATGCTGTTGTACTGGGACCACATCTTGAGAACCCCTGCCCTAGAAGTAAGCGATGCTCGGTAATTAATTCCCGAATTGCTGAGAAGCTGGAAATTCATCTACGTTGAGGTCTAGAAAGGTCACGAGGTTTATTTCGTTTGGTTGCCAGTGCAGTCCTCGTGTGGCTAAGGGATCAGGGTGAGAAAGACTTGCAGTGGTGGGTGGGGAGGGATCAAGATAAGAACGGTTATTGCTGTGTTCATAGAAATATCTTGGGAAGTGAGGTGGGAGAAGGTTTGAAAGCATTGAGGCATGTGACTTGGGTTAAGATGTCAGGGTACACGTTTGGGAAGGTGGGGGGTGACTGAAGTGATTGCTGAGGTAGAGAAAGAGGGCTTCCTGTCCCAGCCCAAGACCCTCTTCGGATATATTAAATCTTAGGGATGTATGAATGAAACCTTAATATGTCTACAAGGGAAAGAGAGGTGGGAACTTGTTTGGGTCCAGTCCTTCTAAGTAGGGTGTGCAGATACTTTTTTAAAAACAGCTTTATTGAAATATAAGTGCCATAAAAGAGACAGCAAATATTTAAAGTATATCTTTTTTTTTTTGAGTCAGAGTCTTACTCTTTTGCCCAGGTTGGAGTGCAGTGGCACTTTTATGGTTCACCACAGCCTCAACTCACTGGGCTCAGGTGATACTTCTACCTCAGCCTCCTGAGTAACTGGAACTACAGGCATGAGCCACGAAGCCTGGTTAATTTTTTGACTTTTTTGTAGAGATGACATCTCACTATGTTGCCTAGGCTGATCTTGAACTTCAGGGCACAATCAGTCCTCTTGCTTCAACCTCCTAAAGTGCTGGGATTACAGGTGTGAGACACCATGGCCGGCCTACAGTATATAATTTGATAAAGTCTGTTAAGCGTATTCACAAATAAAATAAAGTAAAATAAAATAGTGAGCATATCTATCAGTGCTCAAAGTTTCTTTCTGCCTTTTGGTAATGCCTCTCCCATCTCCACCCCCTCATACCCAAACACTGGTCTCCGGTTACTGGAGATTAGTTTGCATTTTTCTAGAGATTTATTTACATAGAATCATACAAAATGCACTCTTTTTTGTCAGATTTCTTTCACTAAGCATTATAAGATTTATCTGTTTTGCTGTGTATATCATAATTCATTTGTATTTGTGGCTGAGTGATATTCCACTGTATGTATACACCACAAATTGTTTATCCATTCACTAGTTGATAGGCATTTGGTTTATTTCCTGGGTGATTTCCAGGTTTTTACTATTAAAAATAAAGCTGTTAACATTCTTGTACAAGTCTTTATATGGACATAAGCTTTTTCTCCTGTCTCATTTTAGTTGTATGTTTAATGTTTTAAGAAACTGTGACACTATTTTTCAGCGTTGCTGTACCATTTTGCACTCCCATCCAGTGCATGGGAGTTCCAGTTCCTTCACATCCTCACCAACTCACTGTGCTTCTCACTGTGGTTTCAATTTGCATTTCTCTAATGACTAATAGTATCTAGTATTTTTATGTGCTTGTATGCCAACCGTATATATTACTTGCTGAAGCATCTGTATAAATCTTTTTTCCATTCTGGACACAAGCTCTTTATCAGATATGGGCTTTACAAATATATTATGGCTTCAATTTTCTTTCTCTTAACAGTATTTTTTTAAGAGTAGTAGTTTAAAGTTTTGGTGAAGTACAGTTTACCAATTGGTTCTTTTATGGATCATGCCTTTGGTGTCTTATGTAAGAAATCTTTGCCTAACCTAAGGTAACCACGATTTTATTCTAGTCTTTTCTTATAGACTAGAAGTTTTAGGTTAGACATTTTGGTCTATGATCCATCTTAACTTTTTGTGTGCCCATATTCTGAGATTTGGGGCAAAGTTTATTTTTTTGAGAGTAGCTGGGACTATGGGTTGTGGGGGGGGGTGCTCCCTATGTTGCCCAGGCTGGTCTCAAACTCCTGGGCTCAAGCAATTCTCCAGTCTCAGCCAAAGTGCTGGGATTACAGCCACCATGTCTGACTAGTTCCTCAGTCCTATTAGCCATATTGTAAGTGATCAGTAGCCACATGCGGCTAAGGGCTTCTGTATTGGATGGCACAGATGGAGAACATACCCTGAAATACTTAGTAGTCTCTTCCAGTTATCGGTCACTACTTTCTTCAATGCCTGGCTCAACTGTAACATTCTGATGAACACTTTTATCTTTTGTTCAAAGTTCTCTGACACAAACGTCACCTTTTTTCCTTTCTTTTGCAATATTTCTATCCTGATCTACCTTCTACTTTTCTTCCTCATAGGAAGAAGTCTCTTCCTTACTTTCTTTTATTTATTTATTTATTTAATTATGATATTGTGGGGTACAGTTAAGGGTTAGGTATACAAATACGTTTCGTTCAGGCACCCTT